CCCACCACACAAAACCACAACAGAACCTCCAGGCTGACAAGTGCTGTCCATGGGTATGAGATGCTATGGGGCAGGTTGAAGTCCTGCTCGCCCCCCGTGATGGTACAGCTGGGGTGGGGACCTCCAGGCTGGGCTCAGAGAGCGGTCACTGCTCAGCTGGTAGGAGTGGCCAGAGCAGCCACCACAGCTGGGGGTGTTTTGCACAAAATCAAACCCTTACAAGGTTTTCTTTTCCCCAAATATTCAGATCCTTTTGTCCTCCAGTTTTGTTTTCATGCATTTTCAAATAGACCAAGTTTGGTTTGTTGGGTTTTTTTTGTTGCCACAATTAGAATAATCCACCTCTTGTGCTGTGAATTGGACAAAACCAAATATGCCTGGAAAATAAGATTTCTGTTTGATTCCCTCAGTAAAGGGTTTTGGACAATGCAAAAATGTGTTTGTTATGATGTAGTCACAGACACAGCTGTTTTAATGAGGTGACAGAATAGGAAAAAGGTAGTGAGAAAAGCACATTCTCATTGGAGAACCACTTTTATTTTGATTATCCCCTTGTAGGGGGGATACATATGTTTTGTGTGGTTCTGGGTACTAAGCTGTCCACACAAATATAAAATGATTAAATGGAGCAGCAATAAGCAGTGGCCTGTAAGTATTGCCTGGTGAGAGATAATACTGTAGCTCTCTAATTGGCTCTCTACCAGCATACAAGTGTGACTGATTTCAGCTGTAGCATTACCAGTCTTGCTTCCACCAGCACTATTATCTCAGAGTGACACTTCCATTACTCTGAACGGAGAAAGATGAACGTCACCTGTCAGGGGCTGGTTAATTGTGTTGCTAGATGTATGTTACCAGGGCGCAGGTTGGACATTTATGAACATAACTGCTTCCTCTGATGTCCGCCATCCTTCAACGATCGATACAGCTCTTACAGTAAGCGCATAATTGAGTGAAGGCACTTACCACTGAGGGGCTGAAGATGAGCCCATTGCACGAGTTTCATTGTCCATACATTCAGCACAAATGAGCTGATATCTGCCCTTTATTGTGTGTTGCTTTGTGGAAATAGAAACTAATGTGCCACTTTCATTTGTTTTCTAGATAAATGGCCAAGATGTCCAGAATCGTGAAGAGGCAGTGGCTTTGCTTTCCAGTGAAGAATGCAAGAAAATTGTGTTGCTGGTCGCAAGACCGGAGATGCAGGTTAGACTAAATAGATGCACTGAGCCAGAACCCCGGGTTATAATGTACAGTCACTGTCATTGTAACTAGTGAATTGGTGAGAAATAGGAGTGCTAAAGTTCCTGACAAAAGGAGGAAACAGATAATTGCAGAACTTTGCCCCTGTTTAGCCAACAAAGAAAATAACATTATATTACTAGGGCTTGTTTTCCCCAGACTAAGCAATTCCTTTCCAGCAGACAGAGTAAACAGGTATACAAATAAAGCCGACAGCACTAATTTGATATTAGTAAAGTATGAAGTAGAACTTGAAAACTGTATGTTACTCATTAGGTGATTCTTATTTCTTCTGGGGATAAATTTCCCATACTTACCTCAGTCATTTATATGAACTTACACAAAGCTGGTCATTGGTGATGTCTCTTTTTATCCTATGCACTTATAAGCAGGTGTGTAAACTGTTAATTTGTGTACCAGCTATGAGACTTTCACTACAATGGCACTCAGCAAACCCAGATCTAGTTGTTTTTAAAGCACACTGATTACAAAAACCTGCTTGTACATGACAAATTGTATCTTGGGAGGTGCATTTTTGAAAGCTTTTAGAAATGTTTCTATGGTTTTAAAAATAAAACAATACCAATGCCAAGAATCTTGCCATGACAAGAATTTTTTTGCATCATTGCAGGGGGCAGATGTTATGTTGATCATCAGACTAAAGGAGGGGTAGAGTGGAAGAAGAGTACTATTTGTACTTCCCTTTATATTCTGTTTATAGGCCATTGCAAAGCAAAAAGACACTATATTGTGACTGTTCTCTCCATCTGCTAACAATTCAGAGTTGGTTATGTTGCCATTTGTCTCTCATGCTATTGATCTGATGTTTCACAGTCTCACTAGCTGCATACTCTGTATAAATTAAATTGAGTAAGTGTAATTCAGTGTCACTTGGATTCTCTACTTGAATACAATAGTTATAAAAGATTCACAATTTCAGCATTCATTTCCTTTATGTTTTTTCATGAATCTAAACATTCCCATAAAGCTGGTGACATAGTACAGCAAAAGAAAAGCTATGCATTGCTTTATATTGCAAAACTGTGGTCCTCACTGGAAGTTGCAGAAGTTTTGAAAGAGTTGTTTCAGTATTAAGACTTTTCATTACGATTTTGGTTTTCAGTAGGGAAGTGAAACCCACCTACTTATATAATACATACCCAAGGAAAGTTCATTCTCTGTGTTTGTTTAAACTGATCAGCATGAAAAACTCAATAGAAGATAAGAAATTACTTAGCTGTACCAATATAGCCTCCCGTATGGATGCTCCTTTCAAACTATAAAAGTGTGTTTCGGTTTGGTTTGGGGGGTTTTGGGGGTTTAATTTATGTGGTTTAAAAATATATTAGTACAAAACTCTAGAAAAGCCATAGTATGTCAGAAATCAGGCTGTCCACAAACTGATTTCTACTAGTTGTGTTGCTTTGACTCTGGTAAAAGAGAGCAGGATAAATCAGGCTTTCATTTTTAGATAGAAACTGGTAATGGCAGTATTGCAATCTTGAAGGGTGACTGCTGAGCACATTCATTCAGTAACAGGGAAGAAAACCTTCTCTGACCATTTGTTTGCACAGTGAATACAATGAATAATTAAGTTTTGAAACAGAGAACCAGAGGAGTGCACAATCTGGTTAATATGTTAACAAACGGCGCAGGCATATGCATTCACCTGCACATGTATGTAGTGCACATATATACTAAGCCATATATTATTTTTATTCTAAAAGCTGTAACATAACATAAACATCCCCATTAGTTAGGTACCAGGTCTGCCCCAGACCAGCAGATCTGCCCAAGTGAGATTTGTCTTTCATCCTCCAGATTTGTTAATCTTTGGAAATGAGGGATATTTAGCTGCGTTTTGTATGATAGAGGAGGATTGTGTTCATGCTTTCCTTGGTAAAAAAAAACAAGCAAGGCAAGTAAACAAAACTAGTGGCCAGTACCAGATGTTTCAGAGAATGGTTTGAAAGTCCCATTAAGGACAAACATAAAAATAATTTTTTATTTATATGTCCTCAAAAAAAAAAAAAAAACCAAACCAAACCTTCTTCTAATCCCAAACTGTTAGAGGCTGGCTTTGACAAGGAAAACAGTGAAAGGCTTATGTTCTTTATAACAGGAAAGAGTTCATTGGCAGGGGCAAAAACACATCCGAGTTTGTGAAGGAAATATTGGTTTCCTTCCAGCATTCGATCAGAAGTATCACACAGCATCAATCACTCCTTGTGTACCTTCAAACTACTACTACTACTTGCTGGTTTGGTGTAACTTTTCTGACTGGCATCTGTGGACAGAACTCTTCTGGCTTTGATGCTGTGGCACTTCTGCTGTAGGTGTTGGCCCATGTTACATTGCTCTTTCTTTCTCGGAACATTAATAGTTGTTACTCTTGTAATTATCTAGTGCTGAGACTTTTACCATTTAACATCTTTTTATCACCTTCTTCCTCTGGTTCCTTCACCAGTGACAAAACAATAAGTCTTTCCTTCTGCTACAGTCCCGTCAATATAGCCAGGAGTGTCACTGACCAGTGTTTTCCTTTTCAATGCAGTATGCCATCTGGCAAGGGATTACAGATACGAATGGATGTGTGCCATGTGCACACATGTGCACAAGGAACGAAATGGGGAGGAATAGCATTTTAGGCCAGGGGTGCCTGTTTTATCAGTTTAGAGAGATGTGAAGGGTGCGAAGTCAGTGGGGAGATAGGATATACCCACTTGACAGAAAACATAGCATCCCTTCCTGTCCTTTTGCAACACTGTCTTCACCAAATGTCAAGGTATTATTTTACACTTGGGTGAAAAACAAACAAACAGATAAGCCTTGCTTCCAGGCACACTGTGAGAACAAAAATAACCTCCCTTCAAGTCACCCCATCTTTCTGTCACCCTCCTCTGTTTGTTTGTTTACCTGGAAGATCAATGGGAAAACTATGATAGAAACGCGACATCAGGTTTCTACTGAGGTGGCAGCAGCAGGGCACAGCACTGGGATGGAGGTTGTTAGAGGATAGAGCCCAGTTGCCTCCTGGCCCTATTAGTAACGTTCCCGCTCTTTCAGCGTGGGGGCTCTCGGCGGTAGTGAACATGACAGCTTCAGGATTATGCGCTGCGCCTTTCATACCTTTGAAAGGAAATAATGTCTGTGCTGTGCAGTCTCCTTCATTATGAGAGAAAATCAGTCATACTGTTTCAAGAAAGGATAAAAGGCGTAAGAGTCCTTTTTTTATCCTTCTTTTTTCTTCATCTCTTTTTGAGATGTGAACTCCTACCACCTGCCTTTCTGAAGAGAATCATTAGGATAAAAAGAACTAGTCAAGCATTGCCATTTGGGTTTACCCTGTTTTAGCATGTGTCGTTACTAACATGATATAATGTACTAATGTATTCTTTGCAGCTGGAGGATGGGTGGCTGGATGATGAAAGGAATGAATTCTTAGAGGAGTTAAACTTGGAAATGTTGGAAGAGCAGCATAATGAAGTGGTACAGTACACAGCCAACGAGGTGGAGCAGGTAGGACTGCTACTAAACGTATAATTGGAAATGTTGCTGTGAATACTTCTTTATTAATAGAGAATGAAATGGTACACTGTAAAATAGAGTCAAAGTCTTTGATAGAATTCTGTCTCTAAAATACTGTGAACACCGGCATGGTGCAAGTAAGGAAAAGGAGAACAATAGGTGCTTTGGCCAAGTATGGCAAGTTAGCAAACAATTTAGGAGGCTGTGATAACTGCAGATTTCTCATTTTCTCTGAGCTCTCAGAATAATATTGCTTTCCTTCTTTAATTCTAAAGTATTTGGGGGTTTATGTTTTTGTATTTTATGTCACAGTTTTCTGTAATGAATTGTACCCGTGTAGCACCTAGAGCTCTGAGATGCAATAGTTTCCCTTCTTGTTGTATGCCTACAAGGTATGAGCCAGCCCTTGCACCAGAAAGCTTGCAAAAAAGATGGAAGAGGTGTTTAAAATAAACAACAGGTGTTTTGGTAATACAAGTGTGTTTTTCTTATACCAACAGCGCACAGCTCGGCATTTGTTTTGTTAATGGAGACAAATAAGCATATTGTTAACATAGTCTCAGCTTGCTGCTATCCTGACTTTTACCTGCCCATATGTGCTGTAAGCAATGTGACTGTGGCAGAGATGCATGTGCACCCCCAGCCATACAGTTTCATCAAGGGATGGGTCTTCTCAGTTGTACTTTATTGTGGAAGGTGTGTAAGTGACCTTATCCACTCCTAGATCAGAGGATCTGTCAGCGTGCACACCTGTGTGGAGCCAAAGAAATAAAATTCAGCTTCATCTCCTGGCTTCTGCATATATGCAGCTGGTGAGAAACTGTTTTTCCACCCACAGAAATTTCTGACTTACAATTTTTTCCCCATTCTGAATTTCTCAACAGCAGAGCCTAAGGCATTTTTCTTTGAAGTAAAGAGAGGGAGAAAGACTGTGAGAGCCTTCCTTCTTCTGGAAACCAGGGAGCTTATCTGGCTAACAGGAGACCTGGCCTCAAATACCACACTGCCTGGTCCACATTGAGTGCCTGAACACGCATCTAGCCTGTGTCCTCCTCACCTCCCCTCCACCTTTGACGCTGGGCTATTGACTAGGTGGTAACTCCTATTAAAGCTATTCACTGTATGCACATTAAATATTCATTAGGACAGAGACACTGACAGAATAATTAAATCAATTATCTGGAATATGATAGATCAGATTACAAATCCTTGATTTTATAAACATTTAATTATTTACAGCAAGTGGAATAACTCCAAGGTCAGAGGTGAAGGGAGCTTTGCAACATGATTTGTAGTGGCCTTTTAGTTATGACCCTCTTTTCTCTGCAGTGATCCAAGCCTCAGTTTCCCAGGTTAAATGTGCTAACTACTGCACTGCTGCACTGCTAGCTACTTTGAACAGATATTTGGCATATTGTTTATTTTTTTTAACCACAAATTTTGTCTCGATAGCAAAAGAATTCATGTCAGAATGAAAGCTTGTTCTTTGCTGAGCAATTTCCTTTGTGCAGAGACATTTTCACACAAACCCCTGCTTCTGGGGGAAATTCTTGAACAGGTCTATCTACAAACCCCTAGTAGCCCTCACATGACATGTTGGGGCTTATGAAATCCCTTCACAGTTGTGACCTTCCACTCCCAAGTTCTTGTCAAACGTTGTCTTTGTCACTGAATTTGGGTTGTGGATAGCGTTAATTATTGAATAGTAGTGTTCTGTGGAGTGGTTTTACAGAACACATTGAGTTTGGTTATTCCCCATGGGGATCTCATGCTAAGGATTTTTCTTTTTTCCCTATTGAGATTTTATATTGCTGTAGAAGAGAGCAATACTTGAAAAAATTATCGTCACTTGTGCTCTGTTGCTGTCTGACTTTGGGTTGCTTGAAGTAATGCTAGGACAGCCAGACATGTCTTTGCCCTTCTGATGAGTAATTGAATCAACCAAACGCAACTTGGTGTGTAATGGGGCGTCAGTAATTTGTGACAGCTGCTGTCTCTCTAGACTCTATATAGTATAGCAAGTTGGAAAACTGGTTCTTTACTCCTTGTTAGGCTGGGAAACATAGCAGTTTCCTGAGGTGAATCAGATAATCCATTGGAGCAATGAAGCTGCTCTCATTGCAGCTGCCAGTGGCCAAGCTGAGTATTTTCAAGCTTGCCGGCTGGCCATGGAGAATTCACTCTAAGGCCAGCCTTGATTTTTGTGAAGCAAAACGCAGTCCTCTGTTTTCATAATCATCTGTTGTCATGAATCTTGTGAGCTGTAGGAATGAATACGCACTACAGCAGAATATCCTTCCAAATACAAGTCTGTTTTCCAGAACACCATTTTAACATTTAGTATAAGTTGACACAGAAAAATTTGGTAGTTTGTAATGGAAGAATTAAGTAGATAGTCATATCTTTTCTGTATGTTTTTGAGGCACTCTATAGAATTTAATCAAGAATTGTATCTTCTCTGTATAGAATAGTCCAATGAACCTCAAGGAAAGATTTAATTCTCCGTTCTTTTATAACTCATTGTATTCCTTCCCCTTTACAACATCGTGGTTCCTTGTGCAGCAGAGATAACCTTCAGAAGAATACCATACATTTGCCATGCATAAATTCTTATCATATCATGGAATATATCAAAACCTTTTAAGAAGAGAAAGAATTCTATAAAAAAAATCATTCTCATTCATTCAAAGCTGAAATGCAGTGACACTATCTGGGGGAAATTCTTTTTTGAGAGAGGCCTGTTTTAAAAGAACACCATTGTTTGCAGAAGAGCATTTTCCCTTTCAGTACCTCACTGAAATCAATCCCAATCTTCCCTCATGGCTGGACTACCTCGTGGTCAGCCTGCCACTGGAGATTCCTCTCAGTGGGGTCAGTCTTCCTCTCATTGTCTGAGACTGACTGGAGAGCCCAGCAGCTACATTTATTAAAACCTTCAGCTGAATCTCACTGCCTTCAGACTTTAGTAGCAGCCTGGGTTTTGAGTCCCAATATGCATCATAAGTTGTAAAATGAAAATAGAACAGTGCCTGAATTCCTGCAAGATTAGCCATTTTATAGGCATGAATGCTTGCTGGAGCTGAAATGCAGAATCTTTTGAGGTTCATTTATTGCTTGATTGTACGCACCGCCACATTCGCCTTCTCATTATCTGAGTTCTCACTGCAAAGATGAGGCCTAAGGAGCCCTTTGGTATTTCAGACAGAAATAATTGTAGAAGAGATTGACAATGTACGTTTGAAAACAAACACTTTGTTTGGAATAGATAATAGACAACACTGACAAAAGCAATGCACTGACAATTGGAGACTCACTTGTTTTTCAGAAGGGACTTAACCTGGAATTAGGCTTGCTACCTTTCAAAATAAAATTTAAATCTCATGTTGTAAGACTGCTCAGTCTGCACATGTTTAGGAGCTCTGGCAAGCATGACATGTCCAGGACAGAAATGCCAGGGGCTACTTTACTTGAGTCACAGTGGATTTTTAAAAAATATATATCTCAAAAACAAGCAGTACAATAGGTATCTGTATTACTTTCCATTTTCTTAATTGAACTAGCTGCTGTTCAAATCCACATACAGGGGAAAGATTTGATGTGACATGGATGTCTGCTCTAGGTTGAGAAGAATCTGATTGTGCAGGCACTTGTTTCTTCCTTACATGGAGGGGAACCCAAAGTGACTACCTGACATTCATGTGCCTGTACTAGGCACTTCTTACATTTTATCAAATAATTCCCACCTATCTGACTGCAAAGATGGGGTTTCCTGAGTTTACATCTTTTGTGTACATATGTTAATTATGGATTCAATAACTAGAGTAGATGGTAGCATATCATATTCAGTCAGTCTAAATCAAGGGGAAGTTGAAGGACCAAAGTTTATATTGTTGATAAAAGTAGTGTGGAAAAGAAGAGCCATTGATTCTGAAAGTGTTGATTGCATGGATCCGAACTGTAAAGTCTGTTGCAACACCTATACAAATAGATACATTAAGGGATTTTTTTCAGAAGTGCTCAAATATGTGCTTTGGTGGTGTGGCACCATGCTGGAGACGTCAGAGGAAGCATCATGGAGCTCAGCTCCTGCAAGCTGTACGACTGCACGAACATGTTATGGATAAGTTACCCTCTTTAGGGTGTTAAGATGGGTTTAGGCATATGGATGCAAGTTGTGCTATGTCACTCACTCTCAGAGAGCAGATTATGGCCCTCCTCATTTGCTAATGTAAATGGAGCCCTGTATTTGGGGCAGGCACCCAAATTCCTTGCTGTTCTGCAGCACGGTCCTCCAAACGTCTGGGGAAGCTGTTCTCCCTTGTGTCAGTAGTTAACTATTTTCCCAAGCAGTGAGAAACAGGGATTGCACAGTGCAGTGGCCAGGATGCAGTGTAGGTGACCCAGACTGGAGTCACTTCTCTGATGACAGGTTTGGGAACAGAGGAGGTCAATACAAGATGGAGCAGCTCCAAAGCAGGTGAGAGAAGGGACAAGAATAGCTTATATAACGGCACTCACCTGGAGGACTTAAACTAGAAAAATTCATAATTAAACCTAAATCTCCAGCATTCCTGGTGAAAACCCTGGCCACTTGGCTGGTTGGGTGCTCTTCTTTCTGTTTACTCTTGGTTTTAATGAAGAATTCTCTAGACGTTTTTTTTCTTGGTGTAAAATGTGACATTTTGGAACTCTTACAAAATAGGTGATGTGAGAGGGAAAACATTGCATTCCCACCACGTCTCCAGCTGCTCCTGAAAATGGAACTAAAGTGTTGCAGCCACTTAGGAAAAAGATAAGAAGAGCCTTAATAAGAAAATCTTCCAATATACTTTATACTCCTTAACAGCAATGCATAACATGAGGAAAGAAAGACTAGATTAATGATAATTATAGAACAACTCTGGAATACTTAGTTATTTAGAATGTTCTTGGTTCTACTCTTCATAGTGCTTCTTCCTGTGACAGGAAGATACACTTATTTTTTAAGCAGATAAGTAGAAAGATCTGAGAGGATCTCAGATTGGAAAAATACATACAATTGATTTTTTCTTAAAACTTGAAGAATTTTCATTAAAGTCTGCCTTTGTCCCTTGCAGTTTCAAAATCTAGTTTCTAGAAAATTCTGACCCTGCAACATCAAGAAAGATTGAACCTTTGCATGATCCCTTGAATAACACTGACTACATTCTCTCCCAAGACATTTAAATTCAAGGGGAGAGTTTTTCCCCATTTGGGGAGAGTGAGAGATGGTAGTTGGCACATTGCCGGTGTGACTGCCAAAGCTACATGAGAATTATACCTTTATTGTGCATTTTGTTATCAGGTGAACATTTGTCCTGGTTTAATCTGGGACAGAGTTAACTTTCTTCATAGTAGCTAGTGTGAGGCTATATTTTTTATTTGTGCTGAGAATAAGACTGATAACATACAGATGTTTATAGTTATTGCCAGGACAGTCAAGTTTCTAATGCTTTGCCACTGTCTACAGGTGCAGGAGAAGCTAGGAGGGAGAATAGCTCACAAGTACTGTCTTGGGATTTGAACTTAGGTCTACGATTGACACCCAGATTGGACAATGGTATATTCCATATCATGCACATCATGCCCAGAATATTATGAGGTGCTATCCGTAAGCACTCTCTTTCTCAGTTGGGTCTCTCTCTCAGACTTTCAGGTTCTTTTTTTTCTGGGATTGTGGTTTCAGGACTCTCTCTTCTTCAGGATCATTAGCCAGCAATGGGCTAGGCTGTGGTCATCGGGTGGTGAGCAGTTTCACTGGGTATCACTCATTTATATATTTGTATATTATTATTATTATCATTATTATTTTTGGTTTTATTGTAGTTTAGTTAGTAAATTGTTCTTAATCTCAACCCATGAGACTTTTTCCCTTTAGCCCTTTAATTCTCTCCCCAAGGAGGGGGGAGGGTGAGTGAACAGCTACATGGTATTTGCTGCTTCTAGCTGGGTCAAACCACAACAACGTTGTACGTGCAAAAGGATGAGTGTAAAATGTATGCTATGATTTTAAAATAAAGTTTTTCTTTGCAGGTCTTGTCTGACAACAAATTGCTCAAACATCTTTTAAGAAATTTTTAACTGGTCTGTCACAGACACCGAATTCTCCTAGTGTTGTGTTTTTTTTAATATTTGTTTTATTCCACTATTACATTACATTTTTGGGGTGGAGGTTATTTTTTTTTCTGAGACTAGGCTGTTATTTTTTCCTAACAATTGAAGAAAGGAAAGGAGTTGAAGAGTGTGTGATCATGAGGTGTGCATGAAGAGAGGAGAAAGGATGAGATAGGAGGCACCTTTTCATCCTGTTTTAGTGTCTGTCAAAGTAGAAAAAAAGGAAATTATAACAGTAGCCTCTTTGTTTCCTTTCACTGGGTGCACTGTACCTTTTTTCTCCCTTGATTATTACTACCATTATACGTAATTATGCAATTATACCTCCTAAAAGAGAAATGGCATTTGGTTGGTACTATGTACACTTAGATATTTGGCGAACAGGCCATATAAATTGCACTCGGCATGATTGCTCTGTGAGGGGAATAGGGGGGAATTCTTTGCTTATCCAGTTTGAAAAATAAAAAGCATCTGTCTCTTGAGAGAGGTGTTATCTCACATTCTTTGAGAATATAAATAGGTTGAGAATACAAATAGGTTAGGTACAATGAGTGGAGCGTGAATTAAAAAACAGCCTAAATGCTTGACATTATGCCCATGGCAAGCACTCAGTGTTGTTCTACGCTTAATGGTAAAAGGCTGTTTTTATTTCTTAGGAATGTAAACTCTAAGTAGGGAACAAAAATGGTCTCCAGGGATGCAATGGAAAGAGGTCTGCTTGATGAAAATCCTAGAATTCAAAATGAACAGTCTTTTGGAAAAAGACTACTGAAAACAAGAAGTGTGAGAGAAAGCTGCAGAGAGTGTAATGGAGCTAGCTAGCCCTCTGCAGGTTCAACCCTGTCCATCTCCAAGGAGCAAACAAGGAGTTCACTGGTTAAAAAACAAAAAAAGCCTCACGGCTAAAGGTAGTCTTTTTGCACCCTCTTAGATTGTATTAGTCATTGTTTGATTGGCTGGTTGCTCTGTTTTTTTGAAGGGATACCAGTACTGAAGCTTTCTTCCAAGTTTGAGAAGATTTCAGCTCCACAAGTCTCTGGCCATAATCCAGAATCAAAAACAGTGCACCATCTGGTGATCATTATCTTTAAGCACTGCAAAGAGATGGCTTAGCTAGAGAGGGAGGTATTTCTTTACGGACTTTAGAAGATATGTCACTGGTGCTGTAATTAATCTACCTCACTCGGTATGGCCACCACAGCATGACTTTCAGAAATGTTTAAAAGCTGTGAGCAGTAGGACTGCTGTCTAGTGATCTGTTTTAATTCAGCTTAAATCAGATCCCAGATGTTTAAGCAAAACAGAGCTGGAAAATATTCTCGTGTAATATTATCTGCATTTGATAATTATTTTGTTTTGCTCATTTTTTTAGCCAAAGAAACATGAAGAGGAGGATGGCACTACAGACACTGCAACCTCGTCATCCAACAATCATGAGAAGGACAGTGGGGTGGGACCTACAGATGAAAGTCTACGTAATGACGAGAGCTCAGAGCAAGAAAATGCACCTGAGGAGCAGAACAGCACTACCCTGCAGAGCAAATGGGAGCTGGGCCACAGCCAAGATACTGTAGGAAGTGCTGAGCTCCAGTGCAATGAAAGCTTTGTGTCTGGGGAATACATTGAATCTGATTTCATAGGAAACCCAAAGGAGGAATGTGAAAGGTTTCGGCAGCTGTTGGAACTGAAGTGCAAGATTCGAAACCACGGGGAGTATGACCTTTATTACTCGAGCAGCACAATAGAGTGCAACAGAAGAGAGCAAGATGGAGTGGAGCATGAGCTGCAGCTACTCAATGAGGAACTGAGGAACATTGAACTTGAATGTCAGAATATTATGCAAGCTCACCGGCTCCAAAAAGTGAGGAATCAGTATGGCGACATTTGGGCTTTACATGATGAAGGGTTCAGGAATTATAACACCAGCATAGATGTACAAAGAGGCAAACTGGATGACATCATGGAGCACCCTGAGAAGTCTGACAAGGACAGCTCTAGTGCCTACAACACGGCCGAAAGTTGCAGGAGCACTCCACTGACAGTGGAGCGATCCCCTGATAACTCTCTCCAGAGGATGATCAGCATCACCAACAGGAAAAACCTGAGGAGCACAATCGTGGCTAATCAGTCATCCTCAGGACAAAGCAACAGAGAGGCAACCTCAGCCAAAACCAAACCGACTGAGCAGAACAGTGCTGCCGAGGATGCAGCACTGGCATCAGAGAGCAGCAAATTCACAGACCAGGAAAATCAGAGCAGTGAGCACATTCCCTACCTGTCTCCATATCACAGCTCTTCTTACAGGTACGGGAATATACCCGCTCATGCAAAGCATTATCAAAGCTATATGCAACTGATCCAGCAGAAGTCTGCTGTGGAGTATGCCCAAAGCCAACTCAGCCTGGTGAGCATGTGCAAAGACTCGCAGAAGTGTGCAGAGCCCAAGATGGAATGGAAAGTGAAAATAAGGAGTGATGGGACGAGGTACATCACAAAGAGACCAGTTCGAGACAGAATCCTGAAAGAACGTGCCTTAAAAATTAAAGAGGAGCGCAGTGGGATGACGACAGATGATGATACAATGAGTGAGATGAAGATGGGTCGCTACTGGAGCAAAGAAGAGAGGAAGCAGCATTTGGTACGAGCTAAGGAACAGAGGAGACGGCGGGAGTTCATGATGAGGAGCAGGCTGGAGTGTCTTAAGGAAAGTCCGCAGAGTGGCAGCGAGGGCAAAAAGGAAATTAACATTATTGAACTAAGTCACAAAAAGATGATGAAAAAGAGAAACAAGAAAATCTTGGACAACTGGATGACAATCCAAGAACTGATGACACACGGTGCTAAGTCTCCAGATGGCACAAGAGTGCACAATGCCTTTTTATCAGTTACTACTGTATGAACACAACTTCTTTCAGAGAGTATACTACCAGTTTAAGGTAGAGTACGATTGCCTCGTTCAATGTGGCATTTTTATATATTTTGTGACTGTTTATAGTTTGACCTTTTTTGTAAGCAAAATTACCTGGTAATTTTTCATTGGTTTTTCATATAACGGTACCTTCTTTGTCTGGCAGTCTTTCTTTATCCTGCAATATATTCATATTATTCATTTGTAAAAAAAAAAAAAAAAAAAAAAAGAAAAACAAAAGCAAAACAAAAAAGTGGAGAAGCCACTTAATTTCTTAACCTAATACTTATCCTGTAAGTTAAGATCTGGATTTATTTCTCTAGTTTTCTTTTTTCTACTTTAGTAACAATTCAATACCAAAACGAAATGCTTTATACTGTATCCTTGGCTTAACAAGTTTTAAAGTTTTACATCTTAGATTGCATCTGTTTATAAATCATATGCCACATCCCATCGTATAGATAAGAATGACATTTTTTCCAAGTACACCTTGTACAGTACATGTAATCTGTAAATTGCAATTGTATTTGTCCAAGCAAAGTGTAGGTGGGCAATTCTCCTGTGTTATGTAGTGGCATTGGTCATGTAGCTGGGCAGTATGTGATAATTGTGAAGATGAAAGAGAAATAAATTATTGCTTATCTTTAAGAAAAGAAAAAAGTCAAGAGTTCTTTGCTTTAAATTGAATATTTGCCTTTAAAGGATGAGTCATTTCACTATGCATTATATTTACAGCATATAGAGATTTCAAGAACACAGGACACAATTTGGTGGACTAGTTCTTATGAATTAGCTTTTCATTTTGCAGGAGTGCATCTTTCTGGCTTTTTCTTAGCTGCTGTTATTAGTTGATTGAATGGTTCATTGATATATTACTGTATTTTATGCTGTCAGGTAACTACTATGGGTCCTTTCCCTGGCTCAACTTGCTATTTGTTCTACACATACAGAACATAAACACAGCATATGCCTAACTTTGAGCCAAATCTTGTGCAAGAAAAACTAGCAGTGGCTGTCACTGGCATTATTATAGAAGGTGAGTTAAGGAAAAATAGAGAAGAGATTAACTTTCTTGTTGAGGACCCTCCAAATCTTTTAGAAGAGCCCCAGTGGGAGCTGGCTGGGGCTCCAGAGCAAGGGCAACTTGCTGTCTGTGTGCGTGATGAAGTCCTTGTTTCTCCATGCATCAGGGGCATCTCAGCTGCCATCGGGGCATCTTCTGAGCTGCTGCTGCTGACAGCCCAGTGAGTTACAGCAAGCTGTAATGACTGGTCTTGGGCAGTCAGCAGGGTCAAAGACTTTGCCTAATAGCCCCATTTTCTTTGTCCCCGTGCATGACTCACAGCAGTTCCTACCTGATGGAAGTGCTTTTCATAGCAGGATTAGGTGCTGAAGTCACTTAGCATCAGGCTTTAAAAGATATGCTAAAGTATTTCCAAGTTATCTAATTCTGGCAATCACTCATTTGTTTCTTAACCACTTTTGGCACCAGTAGGCATTGGCAGTGCTCTCTGCATCTCCAGGCATGTAAATACTGCAAGAACACTGCTCCCCAAGTGCTTACGAAAATTATGCCACTGACAGTTCACAGTTTGATAATCAGAAAATTCTCCGCACCACACTCAGGGAAACATCATGCTAAATCCTTTCTAGACATACAGCTCTCCATGTGCAATGGAAAACTACTTCCACTGTTTCCCATTAAATTAGAAAAAATGTGGAATCCAAGGCCAGAAAGGATCATGGGGTGATATAGTATTGCTTCAAGGGGTTATTACCAGATTCTTCCTTCAGCTGTGCCAGGGACTTATCTTTGACCAACCTGAGTCATCTAGAAAGGTACACATTCTTCTTCTGGAGACATCAAAGCACTGAGATTTTGCTGTCTCCCTCAATGCATTCTAGTGATTCCATTCGTGAAAACAGGTCTCATTCCTAATCAGAGTTCATCTGCCATCAGCTCCAAATAATGGCTACTGCTATGCATTTTCCTTAGACACGGTACTTACTATATTTTTCCCATTATTAAATCATGACTTAGAGCTCTGCTTAAACTATTATGGAATCATACAATCATAGAATCATAGAATGGTTTGGGTTGGAAAGGACCTTAAAGATCATCAAGTTCCACCCCCCCTGCCATGGGCAGGGACACCCTCCACTAGACCAGGTTGCTCAAAGCCTCATCCAACCTTGCCTTGAACACCTTCAGGGATGGGGCATCCACAGCTTCTCTGGGCAACCCGTTCCAGTGTCTCACCACCCTCACAGTGAAAAATTTATTCCTAATGTCTAGTCTAAATCTACCCTCTTTCAGCTTATACCCGTTACCCCTTGTCCTCTCACTACACTCCCTGATAAAGGGTGCCTCCCCATCTCTCCTGTAGGCCCCCTTCAGGTACTGGAAGGCTGCTATTAAGTCTCTTCAGAGCCTTCTCTTCTCCAGGCCGAACAACCCCAACTCTTTCAGCCTGTCCTCATAGGGGAGGTGCTCCAGCCCTCTGACCAATTTCGTGGCTCTCCTCTGGACTCCCTCCAATAGGTCCAGGTCTTTTTTATGTTGGGGGCCCCACATCTGAACACAGTACTCCAGGTGGGGTCTCATGAGAGCAGAGCTGAGGGGGAGAATCACCTCCTTCGACCTGCTGCTAATGCTTCTTTTGATGCAGCCCAGGATACGATTGGCTTTCTGGGCTACAAGCGCACATTGCTTCAGAGAACAACATGAATTTTCAGAAAATGTAATATCATTATTTCATCACTGAGAAATAAAAGTATGAAAATCTATGTCAAACTAGAGAAAAGACCTGGAGTGGTTAAGTGATAGAAAATAATTAGAGAAACAAACAGCATTTATAGCAACAATATATTAATAGTCTGTAAATGGAAATGTATCCAAATCTGTGGAGATCTGTCAAAATCTAATGAGAGACAAAGAGAAGACTGATAGAGAGGTGATACAGCAATACTGCTGGTGGCACACTGTGGTGTGGTTTCTAGTTCCGTGCATACCTACCACAGCCCTGCCACCTTCTTCACTTGTTGGAGTCGACACATTCCTGCCCAATCCTTATCCTGGCGGTTTTCCACCAGTCCATGTTTTTTTCTCCTTTCTTTGTAACTACTGTTATTAAGTGACATTTCCTTTCTTCCCTAAGCAGTTTTTGGGAGAAGTGTTATGTTTTGTCTTGATGAAATGCCTCAATCATTTCTCCTAGTGTGGAAAATAATCACACAACCCCAGAGTGGGGCTGTGAGGCAGCCCAGGGTGGTGGTGTAGAGGGGCTGAATGGCAGGCAAGGGTTTCACTGCTCACTGGTCTCAGATGTTTTCTCTGCAAGGCAGGACTCGGCATTGTGCTCCCTCGTCCCTCATCAGTTCTTTACCAGTGAAATCTGATGCTGACATCCCACATGCTGTTTATTCCTGCATATACTTTTTTCCAAATGTCATAATTTTTAATGAGGAAAATAACATTTTAGCACCAAGGCAAATTAAAAGAGAAGAAGCAAAATACATTTCCTGTTGTCATAAATCTTTAGAGAAAAAAGACTTGTCTGTTATGAGGACTATTGTTTTTCATATGAAGGAACATAAAAATAAAATTGCTTTCCAACTGGAACAAGACCAGATTTTGCTTAAGAGGTTTGCTTACAGCTCTGAGATAAAGAGCGAAAAGCAGGGAAGAGGAGGAGCTCATAGGTCACAGCTGGGGAAGAAGTTAATGTCCCACTCATCCTTTCCCCCAACCCTGGTACCCAACTGAGACCAGTGAGAGGTAATTTTTTCTATGAAGCCAGCACAATGGCCTTTTGTAAAAAGAGTTGCCTTGTGTCACTTGACAGCTGTATTGCTGCTGATTTAGGAGCATTGCTCACCATAAGTAAGGTTAAAATCCATGGATCCCTGGATCTTCCTCTCCAAGGTAAGTACTCTTAAAGGGAAAATTATATTTTTGGTATGATCATGACAGTAAAGTAAACCTACTACATCACAATATTATGTTTTTCAAAGGAAGAAAGGAATAACACTACCTGAAGTGAACAGGAGCAATCAGAGATGAAATCTAGTCTGTGCTTGATGCATTGCCCTGTAAGAGGGCTACAAGGATCTCAGAAGAGATGACACAGCAACTTTAGCATTACGCTTTCTGAACTTTAGCATTACGCTTTCTGAACTTGTGGGGATTAATTATTCATTAATACCATGGTGCCTGACTTTTTCCTTTTTTTTTTTAATTTAACTAATGTTCATTACCAACCCCCATTTCTTGGTACAAATTATACAACAGTGCCCTTGGTGCATGACATGCCTTAGGTGCTAAAATACTTCCTGACTCAAGGCTGGAATTGCTCCAGGTTTTTTTTCTGTTTTACTGGGGTTCTTAACCTCTAAGCTGCTAATCACAAACAGGTATGTGCTAAGTGCTCTATTAATATCCATTTTATGGGCCTACTGCTTTTTTTCAGAGCATTAAATGCTATTGAGGAGCCAGGATAAAATGAATGTGATAGGGACTGGCATTTGTCTAAAGAAAAACAGAGCAGCTGTCATAAACCTGGTGGTGCTACTCTCTGAGAGAGGCCAGTTGGCTAATGCCTGCCAGAGGAGAAAGGATATTGCAGAGGGATCATGAGCAGGTTTTTTTTTTTTTCTTTAAATGCCTTTGCTCTGAAGCAGGTTTCTTTGTTTAAAGAGGAACATTCCCCTTGGATGGCTATTGCTGCATTTGTGAGGCTAAGCACTTTGCTCCACTTTTTTAGTTACAGATAACTGCATCATGTATAGATTTTGTCCAGATTTTCAGATGTCGTTAATCATGTCCTAATGTCAGCTCTTACATGGACAGCAGACTGGCTTTGGTTGGCATCTCTGAGACGAGGCACAACTAACTGATTAGTCCGTCTCATGCTGTTATTCCCCACTGAAAGCTGCTTTCTTCAGCAAAGGTACAAAAATGTCCCAGAACAGTATCCTCTGGCATCCCAAAATCCATAAGTGACAGTGTCATCCAGGAGATATCATATGGGGTGTCTCAGCACGATCTGTTCTGGGATGTACTCACAGACCAGGAAATGTCCATCAGCAATGTTTCACGGAGAAAATATATGCATCCTCCCACTCCAGACTAGTTCATGGTGTAGTTATGAACTTATAACTTTTATTTTTTTGCATTTGGATTTTGCATTTGGATTTTAAATTTGGTATATAATTTGAATTTCCTGGTACTTTTAAGTCTTCTTCCTGTCAGTCTCTCTTTCTTCTCTCTTCTCTCTCCTCTCTCTTTTCTTTCTCTCCTCTCTCTCCTCTTTCTCTTCTCTCTCCTCTCTCTCTTTTTAGAAGCAAGAGTTTTCTGAACTTGAAAAGTAATAAATATTAGAGGCGGGTTTTCAGTAAAAGAAGCAATTTTTTTCTCACAGATTAGCTTATCAACACAAATGGAAACCCTTTTCTGATTGTAACTGTGGGTTTCCTTCTCTAGACAGTTGTAGGT